GTAGGGAAAAGATGAATAATCCTCCATTTTCCTTGGTAGATTTTCAGGGAATAACCACATTCACCACTGAAAATATCTGTGCATGTCTTCTAATCTCTATCTGTCTCATACTGGTTATGATAAACATAGTCTTCTGGGTATCAAGGAACGTTTAGTGGAAAGCAGGTATAGAAACGCTTTCTGGTTTGGTGCAAATTTATAATACTAGCTTTTAGGTCTTTTGTTCTAGCTAGGAAGTGGTGGATTGACTTAAAATTTTCACTAGTAAATGTTCAAGGTCATTAACTGGATTAACCCGATTGCTGTGCAGACATAGCTGAAAGCTTTAGTGGCAGATCTCTTCCCTCTACAACACGGGCTGTACAGGGCTTCGGGTTTTACACTTGGCAAGCGACTGTGCTTTGTCTCTAAGGGGCCCTGTAGAAGGGCACGCTCTCCCTGCCCATACTTAGTTCGTTTCAGGTTTTTTCACTTCTAGAAAAGTACCCTCAGTGATTTTACACTGAGACCTTGCTTTGTATGAGGTGTTAATAACGATGTTTAAATTTCTTTCTTCTCTTAAATTATAGAGTTGATTTTACTTATGATGGGAATTTTATTGTAAGGCTTTTATTTCCTTTTTACTGTGTATGAAATCGAACACTGAGGTGGCCGTTCAGAAACAAAAATTATTCTTGTAATTGCATCATAGTTAATAAGTATGTGTAAGAGAATAATCTTGTAAAAGCTGATTACCTCAGTTATTAATAATTTACGAGTTAAGTAATATGCTGCAACTATATCCAATTCCTTGGCAATTTCATGTGGAAAGTTGAGAGATAATTTTAGAAATAATCCTGTGTGTGAATTTTCTCTATAATTAATGCATAAGGCTGTGAAATGCTAAGTGACAACCAAACTAGCATTTTAGGTTATGCCTGTGGCTTTCCCTTGTGTGCTTTGGCTGTTTGAAGTTGGTGTGGCAGTTTGAAGTTTTGTCTCATTTGTGAAACAGACAAATTTGTCAATTTTAATTTCATTGTGCTTTGCTTAATTTTATTCATAGTAAGATTTTTGTTTTTACCTGGATTCTTCTGGCAGAAGAATTAATACATCTGAAGTTTATGTGCACGTACATGTTGTTGGCTGTTCCTTATGTTTTCTTCTATATTTTTTTCTAATTGTTTACTACCTACTAAACAGGCTTAGTATAAATAATATTTTTTAGTATCTTTAAAAAAGTAATAGAACACTTTTAATCCACTCTGTTTTTTTCTGATTCAGTGATATATGAACTCTTGCAAGTCTGGAGAGAACAATTAAAAATCTAACAATTTTTTTCTGGCCCTTCTCCCTTCAAGTTTAGCCAGGAGCTTAAGCAGGTGCCCATCTTTAAATAAGCAAGTTATTTTGTTGAACTTGAGTTGGAAAATTTGCACTCTCAAAGTTAGGCATGTGTTGATGCACCAGAGTGAATTATAGCCTGTGTGAGGCTACCCCGGCCCTTTCTCCTCCAATTCCGTACTCATGCGTACGTTTAGGGGAGGATCAGTCAGGCAGCCTTTAGCAATACAGTTTGCCATCAAGTCTGATGATAGCCCTTCTCTTTGTTACAGTTCTCTTTTCTAATTAAATTCCTTCCTTGTAACGAATAGGATCATCACCTCAGCTTTCAAACTTCCTAAGTATCACTTCAAGATTCGGCATCTGCCAAACAGAAACCTGGTGGGGTTTTTTGGTTACACATACTCTCAGGGCAGTGAAACACTCCCCTTGCTCCCGCCAACCCTAGCGACTTGAACAGTTTGCTAGATCTCTGTGCTTTTTCTACCCTGAGGGCAGAGCTCTCACGGCTCATTCAGGACCCGCCTGTGTCACAGGTGAGTAGCGCAGGGCCAGCTCCGTACCCCCCAAACCTCTCTCCTGCAAACCCCCACAGCTGGTCCCCGGCCCTCAGAAAGCCCTCGGAGTGGTTGCTAGGTGGCGGGGCTCCATTAGCCAGGCATCTGCCATATTGTATTGCTGGTGTGTGTTGCAGGCCCCATCTCCACATCGAAGCTTTTTGTATTACTCTTTTTCAGTTAAAATCTGTGGAGTAATCAAGTTTGCATCTTGCAGGTGATGAAAGCAAAGTGCCCTCTCAGCCAGGAGGGAGGAAATGCCTTCAGCCTAAGAAAGCCTTCACTGCCCTCAGGTACTTGGCCGTTTCCTGAAGCTCAGTTAGATGTAAATGACCTGAATGTTTCACCACTAATTTGAGTGGCAGAAAACCTGAGAGTGAAGGCCAAGATTAACAGGAATAGGTATGTGCCGCATGTCCTTCACTGACTTATTTTCCTGTCTCCAAACCTCTGGATTGCAGTGTCCCAGGCTGTGAAGGCAGGGCCTGGGCTTGAGCATCTTCCAGTATTCAAGGTATTTCTGTTCTGCTGATCCGGATCGGATGCATTACACAGGAACAGGAATCACACCTAGATTTGATCTTCCATGCACTTGAGGGAAGCCTGACAAATAATTCAGTTTTGCGATTCAATACTAGGAAAGCATTCTAAATTATATTTTACATTCATATCCAATATGACATTTAATAGTGGAGCTAAATAATTACTCATGCTAAGTGCTCCACATTCTGTGACAAGGTGGCTTTTAAAATATAGGGATCATCATTTTTTTCCAACACGAGTGGAGACGAATTTTAATTGCAGAGAAGCAGCTAGTGAAGTAAGGGCATGTTGTAATTATTATTAAATGTAATAGTTAGAACAGAAAAAGCATCAGTGTTACTTATTTCAGGGACTCTGTGTCTGAGGCTCTCCCCTCCTGGCAGGGCAGGGACCTGTGGTGTGGGCAGCGGCGGCAGGAGCCGGGCAGAGCTGGTACCGCGCTGGGGCGAGGGCAGGGCAGCACCCTGCGCCAGCGCAGAGACGCGAAGGGTGCGTTTTGTTTTGCTTTTTAAAACCTACTCTATTCTCCTTTTATCTATGTTTAAGTTACATGATGTATCAAAGTCACAGTGAAGTTTCAACATTTTTACAGCCACAGGTTTTTCAGGGTGATGTAATTTGTCAGAATTCCCAGCAGATTCACGGTTTATGTCCTGTTGTCTTACCAAAAAGTTGCTCCTTTTCCCAGCTTTCTGCCAGCAGCTCTCTAGCAGACAGTAAGCCAGCCTCAGCTGGCCAAGCCCAAGGCTCTCTCTAACTAAGGAGCAGGTGCCGGGGCAGAGGGGCCTGCGTGAGCCTCTGCCCGGGCTGGCATGGCCGAGGCGGCACACGGGGATGGCACTGCCGCGCACGACTCCCGTCACGGGCACGCGTCAGGTATAAAATCAAGCATTTTCCCTGTGCGGAGGGTACTCGTGCATCCCTCCAGCGAAAAGCCCGGGGCGGTCATTATTAGGAATTGCACGGGTTGGGAAAAGGCCCCGAGCGGCTGGAGGCTGGTCTGCTTCTCCATCCACCAAAACTGGTCTAGATGTCGTTCCTGCCCACGGCAGCCCACACCGCACACGGGTTTCCGTGAACACTGGGGTAAATGAATTCCGCTTTCGGCGAGGCGTGAGTCCCGTTACTCCTGTCGAGTCCCGGGCTCCTCGAAGACCGCGCTGCCCCGCCAGCCGCGGCCCAGGCGC